GCTACGCGGCATCCATAAAACTCATTCTGAAAATGATGCCGGCGTGTCAGATGGCGATTAGAGGAGGGAAAGCGGTCAGACACACCCATTTCTGGAGGCCTTGTTTTCATTTTCCCTTCCTAAGCTCAAGTTTTTTTTTTTTACAAATACACACACACACAAAGCCCTCAAAAGATAACGATTTTTGCAAAACATTTTAAAGGGCCAGGCTGTGATGGGGAGAGCAGAAGACACAGCAGTAATTCAAGAGCTCCAGACTGGCCTCGGCCCAGAGCAAGGCTTCCCCCTTTGCAAGGCCATCTGGATTCCAGACCGAGGGTCACCACTTTTCTGTGAAGTCCCAGCTTATGTTCCTCTGGGTTGCCACCTTGATGCTGTTTAAACAGTTTCCTTTTAATGCTCAGACACTGAGGTGTTCTCATTTAAACGGGCTTTTATTTGAGAAGAGTGCGGTTCCCTCACATCCAGAGCTACAATCGTATCACATTCTAGCTAATCAGCCGTGCTGTAAATCTGAGCGACACTGTGTACACACACATCCCAAAGAAAAAAAATGTGCAGAACTTAGGGTCAGACGGCTCAGAACATTAAAAAGCCTCTCTCCACCTAGCAGTTCAGGAAAGGTAGCTTTGAATTCCAGCTCCTGAGCATATTTATTTTCCATTTTAAGCATTTAACTGCATGCTGCTGCCATATCCTTGCTGGGTCTCAGAAGGAAAGCCCGGAAACCGAGAGTCCTACTGTATGCTCTTCATTCCCAGCAACGTTCCTATGAGAAAACCTTATTAATGAGCTTGCAAACAAGCACCCAACAGGGAAATGTCACAAACAAGAGTGGCTAATGCCCCAGAAAATCAAATAACTGAACACTTGGCTGATGGTGGTTGCCTTTCATATTTGTGATAAAAAAAATGGATGGGGGGGGACTTTAATTCACTAATTCTGAAGGGGTCAACACCTTGCTGAACAAAACAACTCATTTACTTATGTTCAGAAATCTCCAGATGATAAATTACACTGATGTTAATCACTTCAATGCATTCTACACAATTAATATCTGTACTCACCAAAAACTTCAGGATTATTAAAAGTATGACAGCATATACATCTGGCTGATTTTTCACATAATTGGGCACAACAACATCTCCTGGTACCACAAATAAGGGTTCTAACAAACAAACGCTGCAAAATTCTGTGTTCAATTAACTAGGACTTAAATCCACAAGATGGAAGCGATTCCTGTCGTAGCCCACGCTTTGCCTTCCGTGCAGCACGGTGAAGCTCTCCTCATGCCACTCCCTGTTCTCCCGCCATAAAGTGAGCCATGTCATGGCGTGCAATGGGTAGGTTTTCTAGTATTTCATTTCCTTTAAAAAAAATAACACTTTTCTAAAGGACGTCATTTATCCAGAATTCAGACCCATCATCTGCTGTTTAACCCTGTTTGTATCCTCCTCAGTCACCATTTGTCTCAGCTTTGGTAGAAAGAGGTTCCCTGAAACCTTCACGCAGCACAACGGGTCAGGGTTGAACGAGGGGAACACATTTAATAACGATCCTATTAGGTTAATTTGCCCCCAAGGTCGTCTTACGGAGTAGGGCGATTCTTATCAGCGTCCGTGGGTGAGCCCAATATGTCCTGGCGGTAAACTAATACTTGTCACCGAAATAAGGAATCTTTGTAGGTAGCAAAGGAAAGGTCATTAAAAACAATATTAATTGTACATTTATTCTGATGTTCATTAGACATGTACACAGCAAATAAACATTTTATAGCTATTTTTTCATAGGCTTGGTTAGATTAAAGCAACAAGGTGACTCAGAGAAAAGTCCTAAACAAGGTAAGAACAGCCTATGGGTGAGGCAGACTGACTGGTGAGCATGCCCTTAAGTAATGACGTTAGGAAAACTTTTTAGGGTAAATGGACTCCTTGAATTGTAAGCAAAATGTGAATATGTGATTTGGTTAATGTTTTTCAGGTCTACAGCCACCCAATGATTTGTAAAGAGGTTAGCGATCCCCACTTAAGAACTGCTGACTCTAAGGGTTTGAGCTGATTAAAAAATAAGGGTGGAAGGCTACTCCTCACAGGGCCTTCGGAACAATCTGGCATCCGTGCCCACTGGCTACTGAATCTCATGCATTCTCTTCTTTTCTAATAGCCACCAGGCCTGGTGCCGCCTGTCTACCAGCAGGGACTCTGCTCAGGAGGGGTGGAGCACAGCCGGCCGACCGAGAGCCTAGGGCACCTGAGGTGGAGGCTTTTGCTGCCGCACAGCTGCCGGTGCGCAAGGAGCATGCATTGCACAGTTGGTAGAAACGATATACACAAATCCAGTCTTCTCTGAAGAAGCTACTTCAGGAACTCCTGGCTGGCTCCGCAAAGCTCTCCGCCATGCTCTAGAGTGGAGGGCAGGGAACCACCAGGCCACTTTCTTGAGCGTGGAGTTATTTAAGATGCCAAACCAGACTCTAAATTCCCATTTGGATTAATAATGCTTTATAATTCTTCACCCTTTTCTACACAAGAAGACTTTTTCTCCTTATACACACTGCCCTCCAAATGGAGTACCAAGGATAAAAGATTTGTGTGACTCTCGCCGGACACAAGAAAAGGCTGTCCCACAAAAAGGTGCCGTGTTAGAGATAAAGTGATCACCAGGTGCACCTCACAGCTTGGGAAGGTGTGACAGTCACGTGCCTGCAGTTAAGGCCTAGCAATACTTTGTAAGCTTGAAGTCAAATGCATTCAGATACGGAGCTTTGTACCTTTTCTTAGAAGGACGAATGTCACTTGCATCTACAGAATGTGGAAGACGAAGCTGGTAAAGGTCATTATCAAGGCCTCCAAGGGGTAAGAGGTGCAGTGCTCAAAATATTTTGCAGGTGGGAGTTGGTGTAATTCTCTAGGTGGGGCTATACTGGTTTTCCGAGATACTCTGGGAAACTTCTAGAAGAGTTTAGGGGCCGGAACTGGGTGAATATCTACTCAGGTCTCACAGATGAGTTAATGTATTATTAAAGCTAATGGGCCCCTACAAGGAGAGTTAATGGATATTAAGTTTGCTTAAATGAATTACATATTAACAGAGTCACAAGAAACCTATCTGCCAATTTAGATAATATCTGATTATTTCTGTTTTTCCATTATAGGGGCATTACACCACAATAGTTTTAGTGATATGAAAATCGTAAGCATGATGCCCGTAATGAAGCGACGTAATGAAGGAGGTGAAATGAATTAACAAGGAAAACCTGCATATGTGATGTTAAATTGAGCCAAGCTCACAAAGAGAAGGCTGGAATGGGACAGTATCTTTAATGCAACTTTTTATACCTGATTTTAGCCAAAAGGCGGAGAAGGGATTAGAAGCAATCTTTTGTAACCGCCTCTACTCCCTTCCCCTCCGGCAGTTTGAACATGTCAAACAGCCTGCAGAGGGTGAATGGCTGCCCCCAGAAGATACTTCCTCACCCTTGAACCAGTGAATGTGGTCTTATTTGGAAAAAGGGTCTTTACAGTGGAATTAAATTGAGGATTCTGAGCTGAGACCATCCTGCATTACTTGGGTGGCACCGAATCCAGTCGTGAGTCTCCTCAGAGGAGACACAGAGCACAGGAGAAGGCCACGTCCAGATGGGGCAGATTGGAGGGAGGCGGCCAGAGCCGAGGGAGGCCCCAGGAAGAGGGAGGGAGGGTCCCTCCTGCAGCCCCCAGAGGGAGTGCGGCCCCGCTGACACCTCGATTCTAGACTCTGTCCTCCAGAACTGTGGAATAAACGTGGCTGCTGCAAGCCACCGAATTCGTGGTGATTCGTCATGGCAGCCCTAGGAAGTTAAAGGGCGGTGCACAGAGGGTGATGCCACTCCCTCGGCAGGCACCCCACCACCGCCTTGCCAAGCACACTCCTGCGCCACGGTCACTACGCCTACTGTCATCGCCTGTAATTTTTCAGAGGCTAAATTATAGAAGCCTTTCAATAACAAGTGAGAAGCTGGCTATTTGTCCATAACCTTGTTTCAAAGATGGTTTTGTTCAGAAAACATATTTTTTTCACAGGTGCAAGAGTCCAGAGAATAGACGAGGAGGGGCATCTTCAGTCCATGGGGCAGGGCAAGTTCACCACCTCACCCACTACCCCCTCGCTTTTATTGATGAAGCCACCGAGACTGGGGCACTGATTGCAAAGAGTTCTACTGCTAAACCCAGTGTTATAACTTAAGCTAAAAATGGAAGAGACTGTGCAATTCAACACAAAATTTTATGTAAAATGGAAATAAAATCCCTTCTATAAACAAAACTCAGGATTTATGATGGCGTTACAAAAGGGGGAGGATTACCCTAAATTTTGAAGTTGGCATAGAAATGATTATAGTCAATATTCACAAAATTTAATTAATTAAGTCATGTGCTAGAGCAGATTGGAATCATTTTAAACTTTTACATTTGGGTTAAATGTAGCATTCTCAAAATCCTCATTCGCACTCTGTAACATGGCAATGTTTCAGTAAAATTATCCTTTATTTCCTACTAAGACAAGATAAAAATTCTATCTGTATCACACAAAACATATGTATTCAATAAATGGCTTCTGAAGTGTTTTTAAGCAACCGCTACTCTGTGCCCTGAAGAATAAAGTACTTGGTACTGCAAAGGTTTGAATGTGACCCCACAAAATTCCCAAGTTGGATTCCTAACGCCCCAAGTGACGGGATTAGGGGTGGGGCTTCGGGGAGGTTCTTGGATCACCGGGCGGAGCCCTCACGAATGGGGCCAGTGCCCTTAGGAAAGGGGCCCCGGAGAGCCCTCTAGCCCCTTGCACTGTATGAGGACAGAGAGGAGGGCACTCCTCAGCACACGCCGTGCCGGCACACCTTGACCTTGAGCTTCCCAGCCTCCAGGACCACTGGAAATGAATTTCTGTCATTTATAAGCTACTCAGCCTTTGGATTCTGTGACAGCAGCCAGACCGGACCAAGGACCAAGACAGGTACTCACACTGAACTTCCAGGTACCGCTGGGTCTGCAGGTTCCCGGTGACCGCAGGGTGCTCCACCTGGCAGACCACCGGGACCCCGTCGTCCTGCTTGTGCACCTTCAGCACCAGCTGGCTGGTCACAGTGTACATGTCCGACCACTCCTCCACCTCGGACTTGCCTGGCGAACACAACGCACACCGAGGAGTCGGAGGTGAGAATTCACATCACTGTTTTCATACCCTCCCCTCCTGTCCTGCCCCAACACTGCTACTTTAACAAACATGCTGGCAGACATCTGGGATAAGGGCAATCTGTGGGCAGCTAACTGAGAAAATGGTAATTTCCTACTTTTCAACCTTGCAGGACAGTATTTAATATGTATTTCAATATCACATAATACATGCTCTTTTTATTTCGATATCATACATATTCTTCTATCTCAAAACCTCCTACAACGAGGCAGCCGAAAGTCGGACCATTCTGGCATCAGGCTGATTCAGGCATTTGAGAGGAGAAGAGGTGTGCCTTTCACCCTGCAGCCCCCTGAATGTGAGACGTCCACTAGGCAGTCTCACGGCCTGAAATACCTGGACACCATCCAAATCCTGATAATTCAATCAGAACTAGAGATAGAAACAACCCCTCTGCCGACCCCCATCAGCAACAATTAAGATAAAAAGTAAATAAATGGGATTTACATCATTGAAATTGCATTTGAAATGTTTTAACTCTGCAACTTTTGGGAGACCACAAAAAAATGCAGTGGGCAGAGCAAAGGAAGACAGAGGCTTCAGGCCAGATGGGAGTTCTGTCCAAGAAGGTCCAGGAAAGGAGACAGGCAGCCTCCAGATGGGATGCATAGGCCACGGCGGCCCCGTTCCTGGACTCAGCCCTCCCTGGGGCCCGGAGCACCATCGGCTTCTTTTCATGTTTTGTATGTACTGGTACACATCTAATAGCTCAATTCACTTAGACAGAAAAGCAGAGGGAAAATGAGAAACTCCTTCCTTCCAAAACCGTACCCAGCAAACAGAAGATTAAAACGGAGCAATCTTTTTGAAACTTAAGCTGTTATGTATAGATTCTGTTTTCCGATATGGATTTTTATATTCCCTTTCTAAAGGGGCTTATTCTTCTTTCTGGCACTCTTTTTATGTAACAAGCACATACAGACATACAGAGCACTTATCTTGGCTCAGAGAGTATGTACAAATATTCACTCATTTCATCTTCGCCAGCATCCCACACGGTTTGCAGTATTTATATTCCTCTTAGAGGAAACCGAGACACACAGCTAGCACTTCTGCTAAGTGACCAGAGGTGTTTGGCCCCGAGCCCTTTGTCCAGGGTGCCACTTACAGGGCACCCTTGAAAAGGGGGGAATCGGAATGCTGATGGGCACAAGGAGCTTAGGACAACCGACAAGCAGAAAGGGGGCTCCGAAAGGGGACAGGCTGCACCCTTCAGCTGAAGCAGCAGCCCGAGGGCCTCGGATGGCCTGGGCTGAGGAGAGTGGAAGGGGCAGGGTTAAAGCAGTGCCCGCGCTGCCATCCCGAAACTGCAACACAGCGGGGGGGCTGACATGGGCACCCAAATACAGGTTTCCCCAGAAGGGTGGGGCCTGCAAATTCTCAACAGAAATACAATTTTTGGCCCACGTATACAGCCACTCTTGTAGGAAAGCATGCAGTCCCCATGCTGGGAAGGCAGTGAAGGTGACGCGGGCTCACCATGGGGTCAGGACTGCCTGTGCAGTGTAACGTGAGGCCCTGCAGTTCTGAGCCAGCGTGGGTCACGGGGAATGGGGATGAGAGCAAGGCCAGTGAGATCAGGGGACAGCTCTTCCTGGTCTGAAGAGCTCTGCTGACAGGTCTACTCCTTCTGCACACCTGAGCAGGCAGCTGGGATCCCATCACCACGGGCCTCAAACCACAGAGCTTCTTTTATTATGCTGTCCAGTTTGGCCTCAGAAGCACTTAATAACTGATCATAAGCCACATCTACGTGGATGTTCTTGTTTCAGGGCATGTTTTGCACTCGTCTGGGCCTCCCAGAGGCACGCCCTGCTGGAGTGCGGCGCCGACTGGCTGCGCCGGCACGGGGCTGGCGCCTCACCTTTCAGCTCCTCGTCCCCTTTGAACCACCTGATGGTGGTGGCCGGTTTGCTGGCCATGGCAGTGCAGTTGACTTCGATCTCCTCGCCTTCCACCGCAGTGTCTTTCTGGATATCAATCATCAGGTTACGTGGTGGGACTGCAAATCAAACGTGTGCTTTTTAAACACAGAATCTATTCCCGTACATATTCTCCTTTTCATTAGAATCTAGATCATTGATATCAAAACAGGACACAAATAATGGATATTCCTGATGGGAATTTAAAACAAATTGCCACCAGAGGGAAGAAAGAAGAAGTACAAAATCATCATCAGATATGGTGAATCACGCAGCATCCGTTACTTTACAGAGTTTCCCTCCCAAAGTTATCTTATAAAATGACCAGTCTCCCACTTCAAAGTTATCTGTGACCAAGTTGTAACAAAACGGGTATGGAGATTGGTCATCAGTCAGTCATTAGAAGGCTGCCCAGAAAGCAGATACAAGGTCAGGGGAGTACACACTGAGATTCTCATCCTTATCTGAAGTCTCTGAAAGGGGTATTTCTCCACAACTCAATCCTTGGATTTCAATCTTCACTTGAAAGATTCCAAAGTTCAACTGGCAAAAATGAGACATGTGGGGTGATCACTCGCCAGAGACACATACAGAAGAACTGTGCCTCAGAACCTGTTTCCTTCAATCAAAATTATTCATAGGGATCCAGAATATAGTCACCTCTGATCGATGGTGTAGTAAGAAAATCCTTTTGGATATAAAGACGCAGGAATACAGGATACGCCAGTTAACTGGCAGTAATTTTCCATATTCCAAAACCCAACGCTCCAGATTTTGGAAACCAAAGGTCAGAGAGACTCCTGAGTACTTGTAAGCAGATTTACGTATCAGAATTAAAGCCACTCTTCTCTAAGCATATTAAAACGACAATGTAATAAACAGCCAGAATGAAATATTTGGGGCTAAAATGCTGAATGTCAAATCAGAGTACACAGGATGATGGTGGTGATGAAGCGAATGAATTAACAGTGAAGTGTTATAAGGTACAACCTTACCCCAAGACTGAGCTTCCTGAACTAAAATCACTAACAATACTGAGGTCAGCAGAGAATCTAAGAACATGTGCCCTGGCCCCCATGAATGAGCAAAGACAGTTCTGAGACTTATGATTAATACGTTTCTCAACTCGGAAGAGAAACAAGTAATTAAATATGTATAAACATGCCATCCTGATGATTAAGTTAAATAATAAATCTCTGATACTGCTTCAATAAATTATGGGATTAAACCACATATTTGGGATTTCCAACTGTTCCAGTCCAGTGTGAAATTCTGTCCACAGGAAGACTTTTGCACGGAACTTGAGCAGTTGAAAGTTCTGCAGAGAACGACGGGAAAGGAAAAGGAAATGATTTGCTGCATGTGTTGCTCAGCAAGACGGTGGCGGGGGCACCAGCCAGAGCACAGGCAGGCCTGCTCCTCTCCCGTGTGGAAGGAGAAGAGAACACATTTGCCCAGTGGGCCGAGTTGCCAAAGTGATATGGCCCGAACGAGTAAACACAGCAAAGAACTACTCTGGCTTACGTTCTGGGGGAAAGTAAACAAAAAAAAGACATCTAACATCCAGTTTGGAGTTGCACATCTGCAGCATTTTAAGAGACACAGAAAGGCCGTGACAAAAGTAAGCGGGCTATGCCAGGTGGCTCTTTCCTCCGTGTAGTCTATCCTTGCCAGATGACAGTCAGGAGGCTGTAGGTTTTCATCACACATACTTGCCCAATGGACAGAATACACGGAGAGACTTGATGTTTAGGGCCAACTAGGTACTCCTGAATTCTGGGCACAGTGTAACAGGAATGCTGAAAGCCATGCTGCTGGTAGAATAATCAGTGTCAGAGGAAGGGACTGTCCAAGCCTAAGATCTCGGTGAGCCATGAGGAACAGAGCAAGAGGTGATAAAAACCACACAACTCAGGAGTAAAAGACCTGGGAACATCCTCCCCACAGATGTAGGAAAGAAAGTCAAACTATAGTAATTCCTTTCAGGGTCCAGGCAAGATAAAAATGGAGTGATAAAAATCACTTCTGATGTTGGCCTAGGCAGTGATTAGCCGTGAGAAATGCAGTCGTGTGAGGTCAGCAAAGCGATGCTGCCCAACCACAGGGAATCAAGGGAGTGTGGGATACCCAGGACAGCGGCTCTCAGAACGCGACCAGGAGGGCCAAGAACTACCAAGACTGTAAGGCGCAAAGTTCCCCTTCCCAGAAATCAGTGAAGGAGAGGGTCAAGCAGACTGCGGTCTTCATGCAGAATGTGGAGCCCTGTGGCCACTCTGGGGTGACCTGGGACTCTTCCTGACGAGAACGGACCCAGGGGGTGCGAAGGGCTCCAGCACGTGTCACTGCCAGGTCTCAACGGACGGAACCTCCAGCGTCGTCTCTGCCGGGTGTTTGCCCCTGGGCGTCCTTCCCTCACTCTGGCCTCTCCTCTGCTGCGCCTGCAGACACCCTGGCTCCCCTCGTGGCAGGCTTCCCCTGACCGCTAGCTGGTCACCTTTGGAGGTATTTATCCTCTTAGTGGAGGATGTATTTATCCTCTTCTTAAGACGGAGATGCTCATGAAGCTGATGGCACGTCCTTCTCACATTACCAATAACGTCTGCATTTACTTCCTTTAAAGTAAGGAAATGGAAAGGAACAGGTGTTCTAAAGGCCAGAGGAAGATTCCCCAGCACTGTTCATATTCCGCTGGGGGGCTGAGAGTGTGGCCGGCAGCAAACAGGCCCTCGCCCGGACACCTGGTGTTTGGTACTATCCCAGGTGCTCCTTCCTCAGTTGCAGCAGACAGACTCTAACGTCCCCTGCACTCTGGGCTCCCTGCAGATTCCTGTCGCAGGGCGCGCTCCTCGGGTCACCGCCCTGAACATCTGACAGCATCTTTCACTTCGGGGCTAGGTGAACATGTGGAAAACTTCAGAAGCATTAGAAAACATGACAGTGCAGAGAAATAAAGGGCTGGTTTATCATTGAGGAGGCCATTCTGAGAAACAGTTGAATAATCTTTTTCCAAATCTGCAAATAGTTTTTTCAAGATTGTGACCAGTTTTTACTGAGATTAGAAATAGTCCAGTATAGTGGGAATTGTTGGGTTCACAAATATAAAATAAAGTCGGATACTGTGAGTCATCACCATCTACTGATACCAGTTATAAAGTTGACTTCTGCTGGAATTTTTTTTTTTTTAAGAGCAGGAAAACTTTGGAAAATATAAATGAGGTGATTTAAGTCTATTTTTTTGGCTTGTCTAAAAGGGGTTTAGATAAGAAAATCTTAAAGTTTATTTTGGTCTATTAATTCTACCCTGTTTTCCATTGCATAATGTCTACTCTAATACATAAGAGGCTGGGAAAGTATAAAAATCCATTTATAAGAAAAATGAATTAAAACTGCTACTAACCAGAAACTACACTTATACATGGTCCACTATATAGGCACATTTAAAAACTACCTGCAGCCATTAATGAAAATAACCAAAGATATGTCTAAGGAGGTGCACACAGAGGAAACCCCGAATGAAAATCACATAGAAGGAAAGACTAGAAAACAGCAAAGAAACGTCAAGGTTCTTCCTAGCTAACCTCAGATCTATAAGAGCACTAATTATAAACATTACGCCTACATTAAAAAAAAAAATCAGCAATATCAAGATGGATCATGTTTATTACAATAAAAGAGGAGCCTTAAAGCCGATCAGTATGTGAAATCTCACTCCAAGACCCTTTAAAATAATTAGGCCCTCCTGTTCCTGGAATCTTAAGATCGAACGTTAATCTTAGAAGGAAAGGACTGTAATAATATTACTACTATTACCAGTAACTATATTTATCTTAAAACAGTGCATTCTCTTTCTCATTCAACTCCTCACGAAGCGTAGGGTCAAGAGAATCCTGCACTGTGACCTGCAGATATAAACAAGCTCGTCACAAGTACAAGATGTAAATGAAAGTTCTAAAAGACACCTAAAGGCACGAAAAGTATTATAGCAGAGTTTTCGGTTTTTACACGGAAAATATACACAGAGTAATGAACAAATACCCATCTCTGTATCTCATAATTATGCTGAAATTTTTGCTGAATGCTTCATACAATTAACAGACACGCACTAAAATGAGCGTCTTCAAGCCTATCAAGAAGTCTGACAGCTGTTCTAAGTCCTCTTCAGAGAACCATAGACAGGAACGAAGGTGCTAATGTGTCATTCTTCATTCATTGTAGTATCTGAAAATGCTAAACCTTAGGAAAAAGGTTTGAATATAAGAATATCAGTAGAAATTGTCAGACTTTGGAATATGAAAGACTCAAAGTGATGACAACGATTTTACTCTGTCAAAGGGATCCCAGAGCAAATTCAATGGGAAGAATATTAAATGAATGCATAGGATCTGCAAAAAGAGCATCTACTAGTATTACTTTCAAGTATATTTAAGTTAATGCTTCTGTACAATACACGCAGGAACCTATTACTTCTAGAATAATCAGACCCCCCAAAAGGATTGCTGGCTTTAATGCCTCTCAAAAGTCTTGTGCTGTCATGCTGACTACCCAGCACGGGGTAGAGTCAGTCACACTGGCCCAATCCAGCAGGTCTGAGAACAAGGGAACCCCGTGCCAGAAGCTGACGGGCAGTAGCCACTTGCCAAGGACCAGCTACACTCCTGGAATCGGAAGATGTGTGCTCACAGGGCGACCATCCTGAAACAGCGGCCTTCAGGATTTTACCAAAAACAACCTAAACTAAAAGATGTAATGGTCATGGGACAGACGTAAGGTCTGTTGTGAAGTCTCCGATTCTTGATTCTCACCATGTGCTTTGTAATCTGGGCAAGACGGTTAACCTCTGTTAGTCTTTTTTTTCTGTGAAAATAAAGCAGTCATACTTAAAGGCATATATAGTGGAATATTCTAAAGATGTGAAATGCTATAAATATATCCCATTTTATTGCTGTCGCTTTTGTGGGAAAGCCATAAGCAATGGTGGATGGTCAGTGAGACGGCTCTGCAGCTAACGACTTACTCCAATATGCAGGGTTCTCAAATAATTCTGAACAAGTAGATGGACAGAAAAGTTGAAGAACATGGTTGTGATTTTGGTACAACTGCAGAGTACTAAAATAGCCACCCCATCAAAGTCTTCTATGCTTACTATTTCTGCACATCTAACACGGATTAAAGCCATAATTAGAGACAAACATGGACACCTGAGAGCCATCCCTCTATCCTCAAACACAGACCATGGCACAAATTGTACAGCCAGACAAGAAACGTGATGTTCTAAAACCAGGATTCCTCTTGCCAAGAACATGTGTGCAAGCAGGAGGGACATGTTTTAGTTTAATGAATAAAAAAGTGGTTTCCCCTTTGCAGCTGTGCACAAATAATGCAACAAGGCAGGTTAGTCTGTTTGCCCATAAATATGTGTATGTTCACACACACCAAGCAAAGTGTCCTTCATATTTATCTTTCCTCCTTAATCTTTGTGTCATTACACCAGAAAGCTGCAGTCTGCCACCTCTACTAGACTTTGATTCATCATCTTCCTGAAGGTGTAAATCAGAGATCTTGCCTCACGCTATAGTTTATGTCCTTGAAAACTCAGTTTCAAAAATCATAATCAGCTGGTGTTATGCACTGGAGTGTATTTGTCTAAAGGTGACTAATTCAGACCACCTTCAACAGGACTATGTGATGACTATACTGGAATATAAATATGGAAACCTGGCCACTGGGATTTCGCTGAAAATCACAACCTGGTGATCATGAATGGAGACCCGCAACTCACGAGAGGCGTCCCTAGCAGCCTGTCAACAGCCCCTACTTATTATCACCTTCTCTTCCTAGAAGCTCTTAATTCTTTTACATCCAATGGTTGCAATTTGTGGCAAAGTATGTGCTCATGGGGTGTGATTTTTACAGTATAATCTAGAATATAAGGCAATAAACAAGGTGGTAAGTGAGCCAAAGAAAAGGAGACCAACAATGTTAAACGAGACCCAAGTCAGAGGAAAAATCATGAAGGGAATCTCGTCACTGGTCTGCCGCGGGGCAGAGAAATGGTGGCCTGCCTGCCCCCCTGCACAGAAGAAAGAAGGTCCTGGTATTAGAAGCAATGGCATGTCATGTGGTGAGTGATTCATTTGAGGGCTCTAAGTCCCTTGATCTCTGCTTCTGAAGCTCGAGGGTTGGAGCCCAAGAGCAGGTGGAATCTATGAAGGCTGCTGACTGCCATTCCTTAGAGTGTTTGGTAAAATAGGCTATTTTTAAAATTCAGCAGGATGGGCGGCCAAGTCTTCCTAAACCAAATCTGAACAGCAAAAATCTGCCATTAACCTTTTCCTCGCCGCCGGAAGCCATCTGCGAAAGAGCCCCTGCCCCCCACTTCCCAGGACGGGCCTCTGGGCTCCTTACCCAGCACGGTGATGGTGGTGTAGCTTTCCTGCGGGGGGTCAGTGTAGAGCTGGCAAAAGTATCTTCCTTCATCAGAAATGGACACGTTTGTCAACGACACTTTGAGTTCACTGCTAGAGAAATTCAGCAACTGAAACCTGCTGTCCTTCAAAGCTGTGGAACAAAACACCACGTCAGTGACTGTGAGAAAGATGGTGGACCACCCAGGCCAGGAGCAATTGGGACCAGGAGCAGCTGCAGAGCAGACAGACCGATGGAGGCCTTCCTTCCTCATACCTCTTGAGTTCCTGCTTCGGGGCTTCTGCAATGACTGCACGTAGACAAATAACCCTGTCCAACAGTACGCCCACTGCATGGGGGCGCGTGTGCATGCGTGTGCAAGGACACCCCCCTGCTGCTGACAGGTCTCAGCATCTCCTCATAAACTGTTTTGGATTTGCTGCTGGAGTTAGGTAAAATAAAGGAGAAGGAAAGAGCAGACCACGAGATTTTGTAGGACGTATAGGCTTTTAAATTGTCTCTAAAAATCTGATGTTTTAAAAAAAAAAATAGCAGTCCCAAATGATGAGAGAACACAAAAAAATCATTATTAATAACTCCAAAAGCAAAATGAAAATCGTTTTAAAAACTTTACAGCAAAATGATCCAGCTTAACTTGGACGCATCTTCGTATTTGATGTGACTGCAGCAGAGCTGCCCAGTGCCCGTGACCGAGGGCCCACAGAGGCTGTGGTTTTCTGCCCTGTGGTCTTCTGACTGCTGCTGGAGCGTCACAGTATAAAACGGATCAGGCATGAGGTAAGAAAGCCATCACCACAAAAGTAATGCATGTGGACTTTTCATTTATTTCAAATATTCACTTCTGAAGCTCTTATATTAATTTTGGCAAGGGCTACAGTTGCACAGAATACCAGAAGTTCACTGTAAGAGCGAGAAGCTGGCTTCTCTCCTTTACCTCCTTCATCCTCTGCAGGGCTCTCTAGACTTGCCAGCTCCCCCCACAGGCTGTGGGTTCTCAGGCGTCGGAGGGAAAGGGGCAAGCGGAAGGCAAGGGCCACGCTTGACACCTGCTCTGCTCAGGCACCGAGGGTTCTCGAACAGCAATTTTCCAAAGACCTGACTTTTGCTCCTGTCAAGCCCTGATGACTGTTTAAACTGTTTCTATGATGCACAATTAAGTTTCGATTATTAACTTTTGTGAGATTACATTTGGCACATGGACACTCCCATCTACCGGAGGCTACAGAGACAGATTTGGTTTGTCTTGATAGGCACAGGTAGCCTCGGAAACCTCAATCTTCCAACCAAACAGATTACCTTCAGAATACTCCATTTTCCTTGCCTTCCCCTATTTGAGTTGTTTGTGTCAGCTAAGTATTTGGGACTCAATTGCAATTCACATTGAATTACTACAATCAATTCCTATTGCAAAGTAAGACAGCTTTACTCTTAAAAGGGACCATTCACAGTTTCTATTAAGTAGAAAGACTATGATTGCACGTCTCTTCTTCCCTTTGAAGAACTGACTAAACTTTAAGCATCTAACATTAAATTTAAAAATAAAAAAAAAGGAGGCCTTGGCAATCTCTTTATCGAGACAACATGAAGGAGAAGAGTCGCCATCTAACACCACAGAGACGGAAACTCACGCCTGAAGTCCCTGAAGTAAATGGTCTGCCTGTTGGGGTTCAGCAGCTGGATCACAGAGTCGTCGCTCTTGTTGACTTGGCAGCTGATGGTCGCCACTTCTCCTTCGATCACTGTCACGTCCTTTGTGAACAGATTCTGTCCATCACCTTAAAGAAAGGGGAAAAAAAGTTTCCCTCAATTAAAATTCGGTTAATGGGGTCCATTCAGGAGAGAAGCAAGAAGTGTGCCCGAGAACTGACACCAGCAGCCCAGCTGGTACGGCGCCTGCCTTTCCCCTGGGCCACAGGCAGACCTCGGGGCACGGAGAGCTGGGCCTGGAGCCTGCACGCTCCTGCACACTGCAAGGCCAGCTTCCGGCCTCTGCTGTTCTGTGCCAGTCGAGCAGTGCTGAGGGTGTGGCAAGGCTGGGGTGCTGCTTCAGCGAAGGGCCGTGGCGCTCGCCCGTGGGGCAGGTGAGTCTGCACCCTCACCCTTAGCTCCGTGCCCTCGAGTCGGACGGTCTGGTCACCTCCCAGGAAACTCGAGGGGCCGCTTCTCAGAAGCAGGAGGGAGGGCTGAGTGAGCCACCTCGTCCCACGGGCCGGTGCTGACATTCCCCATGCACAGGCAGTTTGTTTTTTCATCGTGTGGGTGTGAGGGCTGCCTGCCTGTGACTCAGAAATTGCAGTAAAACCCTAGGGTGACTTAAGGCTCCACTTGTGGCTCTGCTCTCAGCAGTACACCCCGTCAGGGCTCACCTGGAGCCCCAGCAGCCCTGGCCCCGAATGCCCCCTCTGAGGACCACCCACCTCCAGCCATCTAGAAGACCTCTTCAGAACATGTCCAAGCCATCTACTGATTGAAGGCTCTGCTTCTATCCAGACCCGCTCTAGTTTGTTGCTTTCAAGATTAGTGACACCGGCCAGGACCCCTCATAAATGTCCTAGATGACCCACAGCACAGGTGGGAGGGGAGAGTCTGATTCAAATGCAAAAGGTGGAGCAATTGTTGAGTGGCCAGTTCTGCACGTGGCACATCAGAGGATGCCGAAATATAGGACACGTCCCGGCCTTGAGGAAGCTGCAGTGTGGGGGAGACCTGAAACTGAGTCCTCACTCGCAGAACCGGAAGCGTAAACAGGCCGTAGGTGTGACGGCCGGTCAGGAAGGGGAAGGGGGAGATGCTTCTCAGCTGTGTGATCTCGTGAGAATTAAAACCCCTGAGCCAGTTCTGCACCTGCGACACAGGGACAGTAATTAAAGGCCATCTCACAGAGCTTTTGGGAGGATTAGTTAGCACGGTGTCCAGCTTCCCCTAAAACTGAGTACATGGTAGTAGCCACTATTCATCAGCACCACCACCATTTCTCTAGACAGCAAATCCAAACATCTATTAGGCAACGATATGTGCTGGGAGCGGTGTGGATGTAAGAATGAAGGCTCACTGTCCCTACTCCCAAGGAGCTCTCTGTGTAATTAATTATTTATCAACTCAGAGTGGCTTATTCACTCCCTAAAAAAAACTTTGCCACATTAAAAAGTAAAGGTCAAAGATAAATAGTATTTCTAAAAAATAAAAATGAGACAGCATAAATAGAGATGCAATTAGAGTACATGGAGGATCTCCACCTGCTATCGTACTTCTGCTGAAGGATCATTTCTTGGCAGGACACAGGGTAAGTGTGAGAAGGGGTGTCTAAGATGGCTTTGTGCCCAATCCACCTAGAAACAGACCAGCCTCAGGTAGAGGATTAGAAAAGAAGAAACAAACTAGAGGGACATGGGAAAACTTATTAGAGACACAGACAAACAAAAATTCTTCATGCTCAAAGAGCAAATCCAAATGGAATCCAACCTTGAGGTCTCTGATCCAGGGAGTTACCCGGATGTGAGAACGCAGGCCCACAGGGCCAGTAGTGAGTGGACGGGGAAACGTCCCCTTGCTTTGGGGGCTGACCAGGGTTACGGAGTAACAAACAGGAAGAGTGATCAGAAAGGGCGAAGGGATGCTGGCTCTTCCCCCCAGTGGGTTAGTGTGACAGACACAGAACTCAGAACCGGGCTGGAGGGAGCAGTTTACTCCCAGGTTTGAGAGAAGGAAAGGGGAAATCCTGCCCGTCAAGCAACCTTTCCAGGGTGGTTTAGCTGGCCCTCGCTGAAGTGTGTACAGAAAGGACAACACTGCCTTCCTCAGGGGAGCCCTATCTAGTACGGATTAAACTGCATGACTCCAGCTGTAACTGTCTCAAGTCATGGGACCTGCCTTGAGGAGACTAAAATACTGAACAGGGTCTACTGAGTGTGGAGGTGTTGGGGGGAGGGGGGACTTCTGTTATTAGCAACACAAGTGAGAATCTTTGATTGATACACAGAACACCTGGAGAGGCTACGGGAGCTCGGCCTTAATCCCGTCAACATAAACCCAGGCCTTGCAGATCCTGTCTGTCAGCTTCAGTTCCTGGGACTTAACACCAGTTGCAATTCAATTATGCGCTAACAGAATCGTTTCTGTGCAAACAACTATACACATTAACTTTAGTCTTTACTTGGAATCCTAGTATATTCTGAGTAGCACCTCTGTTCATATTATGGTTATAAAACATTTACAGGGGAGATGGAATCCGAAAGGTGTGGGCCGTGATTTTGTGCTTCAAACAACTAAGGTATAAATAAAACAGAATCACATGGGTTCTGTTTCTGAAAAGGTCTAAACTGTCTTAATTATTACTTGTAAGTAAGTAATCTAAGATCAGGTCACTTTAACACATCATTATGGAATAAAACATTCAGGTTAAATTTTTGTCATCTGCCCGTTTGGGCCCTGGCTGGGCTCAGCACATAATGTACTCCGCAGATCCACAGCGCTTTCCTCACCATTACTGTATTATTTTTTTGAAACTGCAAAGCCAAAATAAAATCCAGAGTCTCAGAAAATGACTATTCCTAACCATGTTGACATGGTTACACTACTAACGCTAAAAAATTGTAAGTGATAATGAAATATTTGGCTGGATGATATCAAAGTGCCTTTGATGGTGGTGGCCCAAGGGTGTCACTCTATAAAAATCACCAATAAATCCCATGGGTCAGCTGGACAGCTGTCACATCAAACAGAGCCCCATACTCGATGCACTGCTAAGACGGCTCCCATGGAGTAATAATGAGCTATTTATTTGAGGCGAAGGAAGAGAACGACAGCGATGAAAATATGGCATGTTTGTCAGCAGTCTCAACTGCCAGAGGCCTCTATGTAAAAATAATCTCTGCGCACATCCTCAAATATTTCTTCCCAACAGAAGGGTGCACCTTGACTTGATAAATTTCCCCTTGAAATAGACATCACGACAATTAGGTCGTTAGAAAACACAATTTGATGTGTAGCAGGATACAAACAGGCAACTTTGGTGCCTTTCTTAAATAATCCATTTTAAAAAACCTTTCCGATTTTCTATAACTTAATTAGCAGATACACTGTCAAGGCTGAAATAGCACATGTTCTGGGCAAAAGAAATCAAGTAGGTACAATATACTGTAGCTGTTAAATAAGGCTGTTAACAGCAAGGTAATTTATTTTAAGGGTGGAACACCACCACACAGGTATAGACATATCTGACTGCTAATTGGTGTATCTGGGTGAGCCTTCGCAGACAGAGCCGAACTGGATTTAATTTATATCAGCAACTGGATTCCCTATACCATCCCTATTTGCGCCTCAATTTCTAAAAATAAAGCTCCAGTCACTCACAAGCAGGTTTTCCACAAGTAAACCAGAAGCTGCTGGGATACTGAGTCCCGGAGAGAGAAAACATATTATCTTTAGAAGATAAAATTTATTTTGACGATCGGTAAAGACCATCTCAGCAGGTTCACCGTGGCTGGAGTGGGAGTCATTCCCTATGATTCAGTCTTCAATTGCTTCTCTCCAAGCGTCTTTCCTGAAACCTCACTGTTACAAACTCCATCCGGATGCCATTACACAAAGCGCCAGCATGGACTGGAATCTTCTCGGCCACCAGGATGGCCATGTGCAGGGAGAGATGGGGCAAATGCTGTGGCAAGAGGCTGGGTGGGCACGGGGAAGCCGAGCAGGGAGCAGGCGCTCCCCGGGGCTCAGGGCGCTGCGCCAGATGCCCCCTCCCCCTTCTCCGGCTCCTGGGATTTTCAGTGCCCCCGCTTAAAGATTAAAAGCCTGAGACACAGAGACCTTTAAGTAAGTCGCCCAAGGTAATCCAGCTAAGTGGCTGAGCTGGTGTTTGAACCCAGTGCTGTCAGCTCCTTCAGCCCTAGTCTGTACTTTTCGGCCAGCCAACATCAGGATTGGGTGCCAAGGTTCTACTGGCTCTGCCGTGGAAAATTTACTTGTTTTTAAAGAGGGTTATTTCCCTATGAGCAACTTCTGTTTTTTTTTTTTCCATAATTTACCCAGAACACAATCACACACTTCCAGATGAGGGAGGGACTGTCCTGCATGTAAAACACCTTGTTCACGGCGGCTTCCTCCCTTGGGCCCTCGGCACCCTGCCCCGGAGAGTGCCTCTGTCACCCGAGCACGGTGGGCACTCGCCAGCCCCCTGGCTCGCACCCCTGCTGCCTGGCTGTCAGTGAATAGAGCACTTTGTCCGCACTGGGGGAGTCTCCAGTAAAATCCATCATAAAAGGGCAAGTCACAGAACAGAATTCGGTTCATCCTATGGTAACTGAAAACTCCCACTGACACTGAGGAGCACCCGTGACTCTCGACTGGGAAGACAGTTTGCCCAGAGAAAGAGCAAATGAAGTCCCCTGACCTACTGCTTCAGTAGCAAAATCATACTAGGGAAACCTTTGTATCCCCCCTCGGCTCTATGGAAGACTAAACCGAACCTTAAGTCAGCACAGTCAGGTTGTCTGAACAGGCAAAAGTCAGACCAAAATTACAGATGGTCAAAAAAAAAAAAAATCACTGCCAATGATCAATGTGGTCCTTAACTTCAAAAAGCCACATAGTTCTTGAAAATTCACACTAATTAAAGGTTAAGGATTATTAATTCTTTCCTTCCAGAGGTCCCTAAGTTTAGACTTTCCAGAGAGCCAAAGACTTGCATGGTTCTGAAACCCTTATTTCCTATTGGTGTGATGAGTCCTCGGTTTTAGAGCTTCACGTGGCTTTTCACCCATTCTCATTTGTT